CCCCCCCCCCCGCTTCATTCAAAGGGTTGTGGGTCTTTAAACTCGCTTAAGTCTAGGAATTGATTGAGGGGCTGTGACTCTCTATTCTGGTGATTTGAGTTAGACTGCCTTTCACCTGACCTAGAATTCATCCGCTTGTATGGATCAACTAAATATTTAGATGTCCTATCTATTTCACTCCTAGGGGCACCATGACTAAGTAGCCAACACCGTAAGTCCATACGAGTCAGACTATTCTGATTACCGCTTTGACTCCATTGTTCATTATGGTAACCATGCCCACCTTGTCTTTGTTGACTGAGTGTCGCCACTTGGCCCCTACTACCACGGGGTCCAATCAACCCCTTGTAGTTAGGTGTCTTAATTCAGTTAGGGCAGTTCCCACTGTTAAATATGACTTACATAAAATAGCAATCACAGCAGTCTTCAAGAATGCTGGGGTTCCCTTCACAAATTTGTTCCTCACCATTGTAGTAAAAGGTGTGTCCTCTGGGCACTCTGGTGTGGCGCTAACCTGATAAATCCACTCCAGCATGCTAATTTCCCAAAGCCTTTGGATACCTTCTTCTGTAGTATACCAAGGCAGGTCTGGTACTTCAGCTTGATTTAGTGTAGGCCACCGTGTAATCCATGCTTCAGCGACCCACCTAAATAAACTATTAGATCCCCTTGTAACTTCTCGAGCTGAAACATAGAATGAAGAATCTGTGCTTAGTGGATCCATATTCAATAAACTCAGAGTGATCCATCTTTATGTTCCTTGCACCATTATCCAACACCCTTAATAGCCATTCCCACATATATTCCCCAGGTTTCTATTTGTACATATTAGTAAAGTCAAGCAGTTCTTTTGGAGCATAGTGTACCTCCTCCTGGGTCACACTTTGTACTTCACCTTTTGGGGCTTGCTGGGACTTAAGTCTAGTTATAAGTCTAGAAGCCAAAATTGGTGGGAAACTGTTTTGAGAACATTCAGCATTGTCTTGTAAAGCATCTGCCTCTGGCCAGGTTCCAGGCAATAACTCAAGACAAAAGCACTTTAGACGCAGCTGGGTTAATCTCATTAGATGTGAGTGGAGGGGCTAGTGATTTTACTGGGGAGGGTAGTTTAGCAGACAAACATGGAGTAATCTCTTCAGATGGTAGTGACAGGGCTGGTTCTGTTGGTAGGAGTGATTCAATGGAATTTAGGGGCTCAGTGTCTCCAGTGTCCTGATTATCTGCCCATATGTCCCCATCCCAAGTTTCAGAATCCCATTTCTTTGCAATCAATGCCCTCACTTTAACTTCAGACACTCTCGAGGTTGGCAGTTGAGTTGGTGTTATAATTCAGCCACTCATGATAAGACTCTGGGTTTGGTTTTCGGCAATATCAGCTCTGTTACTACAAGAAATCAGGCTTTCTTTCAAGGCACAATTGGAAACTTTGACGTTGTTTATGTGGCACTTGAGCTTTGATTCTGAAGCCCTGAGCTCGTCTCTTTCTTTCACCAGTTTGTTTAGCGAATGTAGGACCAACCAGCCAGCTGCTTATACTTCTCATTTTGACAAAACTGTAGAAAGGTGTCACACGTGTTCACCCAGAGCCTCGCCTTTCACCAATACCTGATCTATTGGTGGTGACATTTTGCATATTTGTATTGCAACCTCACGTCATGGATTAACAGTGCCCTCTTTACTACTGGAAGCAGAGTCATCAAAATTTTTACGACTAACCAGACTTGAGAACCAATTTAGAAAACTCATCCATACACTTGTGTTTCTCTAGAACCACTCTCGGTACCAAATGAACCACTCTCGGTACCAAATGTCTTAGGCTGGGTTCTCTAGAGAAGCAAAACTAGTAAAGTGTATAAATATATATATAGAGAGAGATTTATATCAAGGAAATGGTTCACGTGGTTTTAGAGACTGGAACATCCCAAGTCCGTGGGTCAGGCTCTAGGCTTCTCCTGATTCACGTAGCCACAGGGGCTGGTGAATCCAAGATTGGCAGGTCAGAGAGCAGAGCTTTGGCTCACAGGCTGCAAAGATCGATGGATCCCAAAATTGGCAAGCAAGACCACAGGTAAGCTGCTAGCTCAAGTCCCAAGAACTGGAGGTCAGACGAATAGGAGCCACCTGCAGGTTCCAGAGTGAGCAGAAGCCATGAGCCTTACCAGAACGTCCACTTGTGTTGGATGCAGGCCACATGCCTGAGAAAATCCCTTTTAACTGATTGGCTACTCAGAGCAGATCCCATCATGAGGATGATTACAACATCATACAATTGTCAGACCTCTGAGAATCATGGCCCAGCAAAGTTGACACATAATCCTAACCATCACAGCAGCTGAGCTCTTAACCACTGCACCACTAGAGCTCCCCACAAAGATTACAGCCTTGGAAACCCTGTGGGGCAGTTCTACTCTGTCCTATAGGGTTGCTATGAGTCAGAATTGGCTCAGCTGCACACAACAACAACAACAACAGGGTATTATTTATAATCAATAATAATGTATTATTCAATTAATTGCATTCAATTAATACTAATTTTAAGCTCTGAATCTCAATTCCCCCTCCCCCCCACCAGGGAATAAACAGGTAGGATGTGGTATTATGGCCCTTATAGAATTTGTCTAGCAGGTTTTACGGTTCTTTCCAGAAGACACCCCAAAAAAACAAAGTAAACAAAAATACACAGGTAAGATGTAAAAATATGTTTCTGGGAGGTAGAGTGTAAAGAGAGATGAGTTGTTTTTATTAGAAATGTGTATATCTGAACATTAAAATGTTGTTGTGTTAGCTGCTAATGAGTTGGCCCCTGACTCATGGCAACCTCATGTACAACTGAACGGAATGAAATGCTACCCAGTCCTGCGCTATCCCCAGGATCAGTTTTGACTCAGACCATTGGGATCCATAGAGATTTCATTGGCTGATTTTCTAAAGTAAATCACCAGGCCTTTCTTCCTAGTCAATCTTAGTCTGGAAGCTCCACTGAAACCTGTTCACCTCATAGCAACATGCAAGCCTCCGTTGACAGATGGTTGATTGAAAAACAAACCTGAAATTTGACAGGTAAAACTTCCTAAGCTTTTTAAAAGGACATTTTTCTTAAATATTTAGAGTTAATTTCATTTTACTTCTTACTTATATTACAAAACTTACTGAACAAGAAGTAGTTTTTTAGGCCCTCAGTGATCAAATCCGAGGTTTTTTTCTAGCATTCTCTTCCACTACTCCCTTATAGTACAACATATTTCTTCAGTATGCCCCATTCTTTTCATCCCACACTGGTGTTTTTTTTTTTTTTT